GTTCTGCTTAGAAAGGTCTGTTCCAGGATGTTTGGTATGGCTGGTTCATTCTAATTCTTCAGGGCTCAGCCCCTTTGTCTCTACTTTATCAACAGTCTTACCTGGCTGCGCAGTGGGATAGACTACCTCTCTCCACTCCCATTATTTATTTGTTGTCTCCTCGCCCTCCTTATTTACCATGATAGCACTGGTAGGGATCTCTGTTGACATCCCAGTTGATGGTAAATGTATCTTTCCAGTTGTGTAGGCCCCAAACCTTTTGGCATCTTCCTTGGCTCCCCCCTCCTCTTATACCCCATATTCAGTTTACAAGGAAACACTGACAGATGTGTCTTGAAAATGCAGGCAATCTAACTACTTCCCACGACTTCCTCTGCCACTACCTGTCTGGGTTACTGGCAAAGCCACTTACCTGGTTTTCCTGCTTCTAGATTTGCCCTCTTATAGTCTGTTCTCAACAAAACAGCAAAAACTATTCAAATGCTCCAATGGCTCCCCATCTCTTTCAGAGTAAATTTATTACAATGGCTCACAAGCCCTGACATGACCCACATCCCAATACCCAACTTCTTACCTACCATTTTATGTTACTGGCATTTAAACTCTTGAAGGCAAAAATTACTCTATTCAGTGTTCACTAAAGTATCCCAAATATCTAAAAGTACCTGGTACATAGTGGCTCAGTAAATATCTCTGGATTAAATGAATGACTCTTGTTTACTTTATTCATCATTTATTTTCACTGTGTGGAATGTAAGATACATAAGGATAGGGTCCTTATTGGTCTCATTTAACGTAACCACAACACTCAGAACAGCACCTATTACACATTAAGAGCTTGGCAAGTTCTTGTTGAACAACAGCTAGTATGAAAAGATTATTGCATCTTCTTACACTATACTGAGTTAATGAATACATTATGCATACAGGTAACATAATTTCATTCATCACCCATAGGCAGAGTGCTACACAACAAAGAAAAGATGAAGTGTTCATATAGATAGAACTTAATGGGAAGGATTATGTAGGGTTATGGTTGCCCCAAAGTTACAATCATGTAGTGCACTGGAACACATTCAGTATATATCACTATTCTCTCTGCAGTTTGCCCTGCCTGTATAAACTTTTCTGCTTAACTTCCTCAGGAGAAAGAATGCTACTGCTTTGGTGGTTATTTGCAAAACTGCTTACCCTGGAGGACATTTATGTTTTTGTGTTTTTGGTTTGTTTACAAAGATGAAAAAAAAAGTCATTTCAAAATAAAGGAGCACTTTGTGTTCTTGAAGGAAAGATTCACGCTGCCAGTGGCTTACATAATCTATTTTGTTTTTCATCTGTATTGAAGGGCATTCATATCTATATATTCTTGTGTGCAAATGTAGGGGACCCAGAACTATTCTCTGTGATTGTTTAGACTGTTAACCTCTCCAGGGTTTCCTCAACATTCTCAAAGGCAGTTTCTGGCACCAAAGGGAAAATGGAGAAGTTGAGATGCAATTTTATCTCCCAATTGAACTTGATTAAATGGGGAGTGTTCTAATCAAAAGTTTGAATCCTAGGGGAGTGCGATGTTGTTAACGGGTTTGAGAGCATTTGAGAAGAACAGAGAGAAATAGTACTGATGTTAAGGCAGAGAAAGAAGCAGGCAAGGAAATAATTGTAGTAAAGCTTATTAAGGCATAAAATTAGGTGAACAAATTGCTTCACAGATAGTGTTAAGCTCATTGCTAGACTGGCAAAGGAAGTGGAAGAAGGCTCTTTGAAAACATTATTTTTATTATTTTAATAATTTGTGTCGGAATCATAGTAGCTGCAATCTGTTAACAAGAAACAATTGCCAGCTGGTGTCATCGTGGAGTAACTATAGCAGGCTGTATGCAAACATGTTTTTCCTTTTTACCTGGAGAGCATTCAATTTTAGAAATTTTCTATTCATTTTCACCTGAATGTGAGGTCTGCCCTTATAGATAAGGAAGCCTGTTTATTGCATGATTTAAGAGCTTTGATTAGATTCACACCAAGTTCCACGACTGTAATAGAGAGAGCACACCTGGGACAGTCTGTATTTACACAAAGTCACCTATCATTAAAAGGGAATACTTGGGTACATGCCTGAAGTGTCTGTGTAATTGCTCGAGTCTATGCATTTCTTTCCTTGTGGTTACCTCAAGGAAATAGTGGCACTTCATTAGTTATTTTACTGAAATAAAACACAGATCTGGGATAATGTTTGCAAAAGGGCTAAAATGCACTTATGGAAAAATACATTTTGTTAGCAACAGAACTTTGATATTTTGTTGAAATATTTCCTCCCAAAATTTTCCTCACTTTCTTTTAACAATGATATAATCATAGTATGATTGTTATTGTCTTTTCCCTGTTTATCTGGAAACTCACAGACTAGGTGTCTAAATACTGCAGGATGTAGAGATTGCTCAGATTTGACTATAAAGCCAGAGGGAGGAAAATAATTTCATTGTTCTATTGTAATTCCATTGTCTCTTCCTGCCTTTTGACCCAAAGGGTTTCAAGAGGGGAAAGAGGAAATTATGGGCTCTGTTGTTGATGCTCATTGGATTTTTTCAGTGGTGATTTGAATGTATTTCAGGGATGTTAGTGATTTCTAATCCTGGCTCTGCTTACACCTAGTTTTCCTTGGTTCAGTTTCCTCATCTCAAAAGTGAGACATTATACTTGTCTCATCTCCTTAGAGTGTTGTTCTGAGGTACAGATAATTTAACGGCCAGTAAAGTGCTTTCCACTGTACAAATTGCCACTAGCACTCAGTTTATACATTTGGTCAGCTAACAACATATATTTATCCATGGGATGCCAAGCAATTGTATAGAAAATGAGAAACTTCTCAAATAAAAGTATAACTAATTTTTACTTTGCTAAAGCAAAGGTGTATATTTTAAAATATGCAACACCATTAACCAACTGCATTCATGAAATAATTGTTGAGTTTTACTGGGTTTTTGTTCTGTCACAATGTCTTGCTTTGGAGACGAGAATGATGCCATTAATGGGATTTTAAACTTTAAGTGAGAGAAAAAGAAATAGAATCAAGTAGCTTTAAAGAAGCTGATTCATCTTACCTAACACCTTTCTCAATAGTAGAAGCTCATACAGTATCAGGATGGGATGGTTTGTGCTTGTTTATAGACTTGAAAGGAGGAAAGGAAGCAGAGGAGGGAAGTTTGCTGAGAAGAGTACCACCTGCCTCGAATAATACACATAATGTCCTATGGTCAAGAGTTCGCATTCCTGTAAGAGATCTGGCTCTTAACTGATGGCTGTGAAGGGCCCAGTCTGACAAATGGAAGAGATCGTCACTGTGTCTCAGGAAAAGACAAGTACAGCACAGGTCCATGAGGAGGCCAGGTTGCAAGGTTGGCTAATATGAAGGCGGGATGCTGGGGGTGGTGGGCTGGGACTGGCAAGGCAGCCAGCAGGGATATGATGACCTGCGCCAGAGAATCAAATTGCCTTGTCTCCACCTTCAACATACTGCCCCCGCCCTCCTGGGCCAAACAAGTGTAGGGATTCTAGAGGGACAGTTACTCCAATCTGATAGTACAGCCTTTCATTAGTTGAAAAGCAGCAGCTGTTATTACACAAAGATTTGGTTTGTTCTCAGGTAAATGCAAAATGTGGATGTTTGAAAAATAAAGTTAAAAATTCTGCACATGAACAAGAGCTTATTTAGCTTATGAAATACAGGTAAGGGTAGATCTTATTGTCCTCTTTGGGAGGAGGAAGGTGTGTCTTGCACATTTAGGAACTTCATGTGTATTAGTAGTATGAAGTTTAGGAGGTGACCCCTAACCTCCTCTTATATTCCGTATACTGCCTGATTGTGGGCTGGATGGTCTGGTGCTGAAAGAGATGCAGTATGCGCTGAACAAAGACCCTGACACACAGTAGGCCCCTAATAGATAATTGATGAATGGATGATGGTTGAATAAAGTTGTAGAGTTGGACACACCAAATCTGTGCTTAACAAGGGACCGGTATAAAACTTGGGCACCAGTTAGAATGTCTTAGATAGAAATGAAAAGCAGTCTGGAGCCAGTTTTCTCAGCCCACTCACGCCAAGTGCTGTCTAGGGGGTCTGCCCAGCGGTGCGTGAGGGTTAGACCTGCCAACAGGCCGGCCAAATATTCCTGCCCACTCTCAGAAGGAGCAAGCAGCGGATTCAGAGGTCTCACATCGGCGCTAGTCACGCTGTCCCCGGGCCTCTGGTTGCTCAGCCTTGGCCTTTCTCCCCAATACCTCCTTGCTCCAGGCTGCAGGGATTCCCGCCCCCAGCCGCCTGCTCCGAGCCCCGCGGAGCAGCGGACTCCTCCCCTGCAAACTCCTCCGGGGCTGGAGAAGGCTTCGGCGCATGCTCCGTACCTAGGGCAGGTTTTTGCTGCGGGTAGCAGGGCTCCTGTCACACCGGCTGGCGGGTTGTGGCGGTGCCAGCCAGTGTGTGCGAGTGTGTCTGCGTGCCCGCGCCTGGGCGGACCGACCCGGAGCAGCAGTGCTACTCTCCCGGAGAGGCTGCTGGGCACCCGCGCCTCGCCTGCAGCCGCTGCCAGGCTCCTCTGCAAACTTGCGGCGGACGTCCGCCCTCGCGGCTCCCGCGCCTGGCGACCGGAGGACAGAGGGGCCGCGCGCGCGTTAGGGACGCGGTGCCGGCGGCCGGCCGGGGCGGCGGGGCCGGGCGGCGCCTTCGTCCTTGGCCCGCGCCCCCGCGAGCCTCATGCAGCCCCCGCGCCCGCGGCCGCAGCCGCCCCGCCGCCCGGCTGGCCGGGGCCGATCCCGGACCCGCGCGGCGCTCCGCAGCGCCTGAGCGCCCGAGCGCCGGCGGCGGGATGCCCCGCGTCGCCTGAGAGCGCGCGCCGCGCGCGGGCCGGAGCGGGGAGCCGGCCGGGCCGGGCGCCCCCGGGAGCGCAGGGCGCCCCGTGCCGCAGCCGCAGCCGCGCGCCGGCGCCCGCCTCCCCGCCCGGCTGGCAGGCCCGGCTCCGCCGGCCCCGGAGTGGCGGAGTGCCGCGGGGCCGCCCGCCAGCCGCCCGCGTCGGCGGCAGGGGCATGGAGGAGCGGCGGGCTCGGAGCCGAGCCCCGGGGTCCCCGAAACTTCCGAGCCGGCGCCGGTGCGCGCCGCCGCTGCCGCCTCGCCTGCCGGCCTGAGAGCGGGACCATGGACGACAGGTTCAACAAGTGGCTGCTGACGCCGGTGCTCACTCTCCTCTTCGTGGTCATCATGTACCAGTACGTGTCCCCTTCCTGCACCAGCTCCTGCGCCAACTTCGGGGAGCAGCCTCGCGCGGGGGAGGCCGGCCAGCCTGCCGCGCCGAGTCCCGCCCGCCGGGCACAGGCGCCGCCGGAGCAGTGGGAGCGGCGGCCGCAGCTGCCCCCGCCGCCCCGGGGGCCGCCCGAGGGGCCCCGCGGGGTCGCGGCGCCGGAGGACGAGGACGAGGGGCTCGGGGTCCCGGAGGGGGGGGAGGAGGAGGAGGAGGAGGAGCCAGACCCCGAGGCCCCCGAGAACGGCTCCCTGCCCCGCTTCCTGCCGCGCTTCAACTTCACCCTGAAGGACCTGACCCGCTTCGTGGACTTCAACATGAAAGGGCGCGACGTGATCGTGTTCCTGCACATCCAGAAGACCGGCGGCACCACATTCGGCCGGCACCTGGTGAAGAACATCCGGCTGGAGCAGCCCTGCAGCTGCAAGGCGGGCCAGAAAAAGTGCACCTGCCACCGGCCGGGCAAGAAGGAGACGTGGCTCTTCTCTCGCTTCTCCACTGGCTGGAGCTGCGGGCTGCACGCCGACTGGACGGAGCTCACCAACTGTGTGCCGGCCATCATGGAGAAGAAAGACTGTCCGCGCAACCACAGCCACACCAGGTACTGTCCCCTGCCCCGTCTCGCTTCCTGCCGCCTCCCCGCCCCTCCCAGCGCAGTCCTGACCCCGGGCGGCGCTGACTTTCCCCGAGGTGCTGATGGTTCCCTAGTATCTTCCAGCGGCTGGGGCTGGGGCTTTGGGCGAGGGATGAGAAACCTCTGGATAGTGCGGTGGTCTTGAACTAGCCCCTCCCTCGCCCACATCGCTTCTCGCCGTTCCCTTTCACCTTCAGAGGTGTCCCAGCTCTCGTGTGTGTGTGCTTCCTTGTGCCTAGCACAGTGTGGCTTCCCTCTTGGGGCGAGTGCTCGGTCAGCCGTGCAAGGGAGAGGGCCTGGGTTAGACCAGCAAGCTCGAATCTTGTACTAAGTTGTGTGAGGGGGAACCCATACCCGGTAAAAAGGCCGGGGGAACTGGGCGTTGGGGAGGCAGGGCAGGAGTTTTCCAGGCTTGTTGCAGCGGGAGGTGAGTCTAATCCCTCTTTAAGTGGCTCCTGGGTGGTTGTTCACCAGCTCAGGAAACAATCCTCTTGATGCTTCTTTGAAGATATACGTTCAAATTCCTGCTCTACCTTCCTAACTCTAATTCTGGAGATGGTCTTTGTTACTGAGCAATGCCAGGATTTGGACTCATGCTGTTCTCAAAAAGATTTCCGCTCTCCCCCTGGCCAATCCACCAATTTATTCCAAAAGTATTTGTTAAATGCTTACTGTATGCCTGGCAGTGTGTTAAATGCTAGGTGGGTACAAAGATTAAGTAAAATCCATTCCTTTCAGGATAGAACGGTGCTTTCTGCCCCCATTCCACACCACTTTTAAATAGTAATACTACTGAGAATAGGAAAGTTTGAAATCTTAATAGCCAGTGAAACTTCTTAAAATATTAACATCCTTTAAGAGAGGCATGGGCTAGGAATTTGGTTCAATGTTCCTTCTGCCCATTGCAATTTGAAGATTAATCTGACATGCTTGCCCAAGGGACTAAAATATTAAAAGCTTGGAACACTAGCTTATTGAAGTTTTTATCTCAAAGGTTTCAAACAATTTGGTGCAAGGAAGTAGGAATTTAAAAGCTCAAGCTCAATATGTTGATATCCGATAGCTTTTCCATTTGACATTATGGAAAAACTTCATTTACTGGAAGCTACCCAGATTCTGAAATTCACCACCACTGAAGCATCTAATTCTACTTCATTTCTCCAAGAATGAGCAAGATTTCATTATGGGATTTTTTACTCTGGCAGTTTTTCAAATCTTTCTCCCCTCCCTGCTCCTTTCTCTGTTTAATGGAAATTGGCTAGAATAAGAAACTGGTTGGACTTGGAATGAAGGCATTAGGCTCCTTCCTTAGAATATTTTAAGGACCTTTTACTTTATAAAGATTTCTAATTCTGTAGTATTTTAAAGCCTGCTCCTCTATTTTAGCTTAAAACAAGTTTTTGACTATTACTTCTGAACTTCTTAACAAGTAAGGAGGCTATTATTTTAGTGAGAGTCAATCTCTGCCACATTTCATTCAAAATTGTATTTTTTGCAGTTAAACGTTTATACATTAATTACTGAATGACCCCAAAGAGTTTGCTAGTCTGATTCCCAGCTTCCATTTCACTTAAGCTAGGGGTTTGATTATCACATAGGAACATCTAATGACTCTTCAGTAGGGATCTGCATGTTTTACCAATGTATATGAAAGTATTAATGAATAGATATATTTTGGAGGAATTAGAGATTATGGAATCCAAAAACAATTGGATTTCTTTCTTGGTGATGAAATGCTGCCATTGCTACAGAGCCTGTGTAGATTACAGAAATAAGGTCTCCGTGCTACAGGAAAGTCAATATCTCTTTACTTTGTGATGTAGGGAAATTCCACCTTGGCTCTTTGAACATATGGTTTGCATTGCACAGCCAAATGCTTTTCTTGGTTTAGTGATGGACCATGAACATTCATTTCTCCCTGAATCACAAATTATCAGATAATCACCCTGCACTAGTTTTCTTTTTCTTTTTCTAATTTTTAATTTTTATGGTAGTATTTTTTTTTTTGTGGTACCACTTTTTATATTCCTTCGTCTTTTTCCTCCTCACCCTCACTCCCTTTCCTGGTATTCCCAGTTACTTTTCTTCTCTCATTGCTGTAGGAAATAATAGTTGCAGTTTATGTGAGGTGTCCTGAGTCAAAAACTCTAGGAAAAAAGTTGGAGAGATGCTCCCTAACATCTTCCTCACAGAAAGGATTGAATTAGTTGTCTGTCATTGGAATGTGTGTGTGTGTACAGCATTCTACAGTCAATTAGATTAGCCTGGATAATGGAGGGTACATTTCCACAATGCAAAATGGCAGATAATCTATTGCTACATAATGGGAACAAGGTTCTTCTTCCAACAGGAACTGAGAAATAGATCTGTTGGTTTGAGTTTCCTAGTCTCTTCGCTTTCAGTTTCCCCAGGGTTCCCTTCTCCTTTCTCATAGGCATCAGTGCCCTTGTGGATCACATGATGGATAAGAGCAAGGATTCTGGATTCAGATGGGTATGGCTCTTGTGCTTAGTAGCTGTGTAACCAGGAGTAAATCACTGAGTCTCAGATTAGTCATCTTTAAAGCATAGATAATACTTAATGCTTCTCTCATAGGGGTGTTCTGAGAACTAAATGAGCAAATGCATGCATAGTGCTTAGCATGGTATCTATGCATAGTTTATATGCTGGTTTATATAGTACTAGTTAACAGGCAAGTTATGAAGTCACATTTACAAATTATTACAAATTATTAATTGTAATAACAATCTTTTTCTTAATGCCTTCTTTCATAAAAGGATTGAGGTCAGTTTCTTAGGACCGCTCAGGGTAAATGAGTCACCTTAATTCATAGAGATGCCATTGTATGATTATTTATATTGAGACAGAATCCTGAATTCCAAATTTAAGAAAAAAAAGAAAATTATGGACAGTCATTGCAGGGCACAGGTTGGGAAACAGAGATGGAGAGCACATAATATAATTGCCTATACATTTTGTTGGTGACAAGAAAAAGTCTGAAATGGTGTGAGAGCAGGTGGGAACAACCAGTGTGCAAGACTGAAGCAGGAAGCCAGCTTTGCAAGGAGATGTATCGTGACGTTGAAAGAGCCATCATCTGAATTACATAGGCCCAGGAAGGGGCAAGGGTCTCTAGTTGGCAGTTTGGATCCAGTGGAGAGAGCATTTCTGCCTACAGAAGTTGATTAGAGTAAGATAGGAAGATGGCACATCTGAATGACCTCTTTTATCTGATGTTTTCAGAATGACTGATGATTTCTTCTTTTGCCTTTTTCCCCCCAATTATTTCTTTGCCAGTTTTTCTTTCTTATCATCTTTGTGCTTCCTTCTTTATTATTGTGTGTTTCCCCACTTCATCCACATGCCCAGGTCTTTAGAAGACTCTTCTTTACCATTGTTCAGGATAGATAGAATCATAGAATTTTATGTTAAAAAAGATTGAAGAGATAATTAGTCTCACAGTTCTTATGGTAAGTGGGTAATTTAATGCTAAGGAGGAGAAATGATAGATCTACATCCAGGGAACTCATGTCTTCAATTTGGTAATTTATAGTCAGTGTTTTGTGTACTGTTTCTTCTATTTATTATGAAAAGTATGATAGGGAGTGCCTTAAGCATCTACTATGTGCCAGGCACTGTGATAGTTCTAGGAATACAGTCTTGAATAAATACTGTCAGCCCTATGGAGCTTAGGCTATTAAGGAAGGTAGACCTTGATCTTGTTTGCTAAGTATCTCTCATTTTTAAGGAATGTTTGCAAGAAATTTCAAGCATTCATCCATACCTTTTGTAGTGTGAGATGACAATTTTTCTCTTTTATGATCCACTTTCTTTTGGTCCTGTTAGAGTACTTGGAATCTTGTGCATATTGTATTAGATAGGACCCTCTGTGTTACAAGTGATAACAAACGTAACTCAAATTTTGGTTCAGCCAGAAGGGAATTATTGGCTTAGGAGCTAGACCACAGGACAGGCAGGAACAGAACTGGTTTCAACAATGATTGGAATTGAAGATTTGGGGTCTCTCTCCCCACATGCTTTTGCATATTGATCTCATTCTATCTAATTGGCTAATTCCATAAAATGGGTAAATGGCAGTCACGTCTAATAGCTCCATAAGGCACAGGGAAGGCAGGCCTTCTCCAAGTTCCATTTGAAATCTTGGGGAATGATGCTGATTAGTCCATCTTGGAACTTGTGAACTCTTGGAACTCTTTCAGCCAATCAGTGTGGCTAGGGAGATGACATTCTCTGACCCACCTTGTATTATAGAACCATCCCCATGCCTGGAGTGTGTGTGCGTTGCCACAAGAAGGGGAGTTTGCATTGATCCAGTCCCTGAGTGGACCAGTGCATTCTGCACAGTCCTGCCAGTTGTGTCAGTTATTGGTGTAAATGAATAAGAAATAAATGAACTTTCAGATCTCTTCTTTGCATTCCATGTAGGAAAATTTTAAGTCAATCTTCAACTCCAATTTATTTGCAGCATCTAGAAACCATGTCATATGAGGAATAATTCAAGTAACTGGTAAGAGTTAATATGGAGATGGGGAAGATAAGGAGAGACATAAAAATTGCCTTGAAATGCTATAGGAAGAAGGTGTGGAGGGTGGAGGGTACTTGTTCGGTATTTCTCCAAAGAATAGAACTACAATAAGTGGGACTGAAGTGATAGGATGAAGATTCAACTCAGAGGAAGAAAGAACTTCATAAAATTTGTAGCTGTCTAAAATGAGAATGACCTCTTCTGTGCAGTGGCATGTTCCCCAGCAGTGAAAACTCAGATGTGTCTGACTAACCACTGATGTTGTAAAAGGAATTCCTTCCTAGGGAAGCGCTTAGCCTGTATGGCCTTTTATTTTAAAGCTTGGTGTTCCAATCTAAGCTAAGTTCAGGGTATATTTCTTTCCCTCTTTCCTGCAGTGAAAACAAAACAAACAAATGAAAAAAAAGGAGCTAGACCACAG